CCCCCCCCCCCAAAGATGCTGTACGCTGTCCACAGAACAAAGTAGTGCGTAGAGTGTCGTTGTCTCTGTAAGCCTTAAGCCAAGGGAGAGCAGATTACTTCGTCGCGCCGTCGCTTGGCCCCAACGACTTTAGCGCCACCAGTTGCTCCCTTACCTGCGCATCCACCTGGTGCAGCTCTGTGTCGCGATACCTACTAAGCAGTGATTGCTTGTTTTTGTGAATCAAAGTGTACTCTCTAGCGAAACTTCGCGAACTTGAAGTTCTGATGAATTTTTCGAATTATCGATGTACCTGATCTTAATTTATTTCTCGTTTTATTTTTCAGAATCAGATTCAGAGGCGATGTCGTCGAATGGTGTGCCATCGTGCAGGAGTACACTACGAGGGAAGATTACGTGTATACTGGGTCCGATGTTCAGTGGTAAAACGTGAGTGTAGCTTGGTTTTCTTTCTCAGGTTTCCGGTGTGTTGAAGGTCCTCCTCGCGTTCAAAAATGGTGGTATGTGGGGCTCAAATACTAATGACAAGACGTCAAACAACACAGTTGCGAGGGAAAGGCATGGGGACTCCACCCGAGATGTTCCATGACACCATACGGAAATGTCTAAGCCTAAGAACGGGCGTGGTCGGACGAGTTCTCACTTGTTGCTGCCAGCTGTTTCCTTTTCACATCACCCTCACAATTCGAAATGGAGAGATTCAGTAGCGGAACAAACACTATCAGGTAGCCGCTAAAAATGAGAGTCGGGCAATGCTGTGGCCAGTAAGCGGGACCGTAGCTTCTTCGCAAGCAGGCTTCTTCGCATTCCTCACGTATTTTTGGGCTGCGAATATAGTACATTCTCCATTCTTGCAGTCAAGGCTACAATTTTCAAAGAAGGCGCTTGAACATCAAATAAACGCAGGGCGTGCCTCTGAGTGAAAACTAATAAGTAGACTGGCATAGTTATCCAGCTGTTGTAGAGAAACGTTTAAAAGGCAAAGGATATCACAAAGGAAATCACAAAATAAATCACAAAAACTATCTTTTCTTCTGGCACATAAAAAGGCTCGCCGTTATGCCCTTGCTTTGGTGCTCCTTAATTTCTCTATCAAAATGCTTTAAATAGGGGTAATCGCACCCCATGGGGCTCATATCGAAAAACAGTGCCTTTAGATTCGTTTGCATCTGCACCAGTTGATCATAGCACCTTTGCCCCTGCTAATAACACGGCAATGTTAGCATCAAATGGTGGCAATATTTATCCCGTGACCGTGGTCCACGTTGATAAATCTTGCACCTCCATGCTGGAATTGCGTTTCCGGTTCACATATTTTTTTTCGTTTGGCCGTGCACATTCCCATGGTGGGTGGCAGGATCCTCATAAGTAGTGTGGCGTACACCCGCTTCGACCTAGCGCGATCTCCCCATGTGAATAATGGTAAAGCAACATGAAGTGCCTTAGGAATAGTTTAGTAAAATGTGGAGATACTTTTGGGTCAATCTTCCAAACCATCTGCAATGATTCCTTTTCGTTCTTCGGGCAAAAAAAAATCATGATTATCGATTGAGATTGATTCAAGTTCAGAACGGAATTGCTGCGAATGCATGATCGTCAAATAATTGCGAAGCGGAAATGTGTCTTGGTGAAATATGCTGGGGATACGAGATATGATCCAGAGCTGGTTGCACGGATCAGCACAAAAGTGAGTTTTCAAATCCTTATCACCAGTTTGAGACCCCATTATAAACTACTCTTTTTAGTTAAAAATATGCTTATTCTGCAGACCATCATTTTAACGACTAAACCAAATTCTTAAGGTTGATAGCTCAGGCCTACGGTGCAAAGGGCTCACAAGCTGATCCGACAGTCAGAGGAACATTTATTTTCTAACGATTTCCCCAGCGTCCATGGTTGTGTCCTATACGACGCAAGGACACTTTGTGGGTTACTTTTCCTGGTTCTTTTTGTGCACAGAATGTTTTTAGTTTCGATCAAAATCTTAAAAAATATCGAACTGTAAATCGGCTCGGGGGGGGGGGTGGGGAAGGGTTTCGGCGACTTTCGCTTGTCGTGTTAATTTGCCCTCGATAGTACCATAGACTATTGTCGATTATTGTTTGTAAAGGCGTAAGTTCATGTCACCTGCACCGCGTCATGCATGAAAATTCGCAGGTCTACATATAAGGCACCAGCAGTGATAGATGGGAACCATTTGTATATCCCCACCAAGCCAAACTGCGTCCAAATAGCTTTTCAGAAGATGTGGAATTAGTAGTTGTCCCTACTTGTGAACGCAGTTTTGAAGTTGCACCTTGTTCGGCATGTCCCACTAGCCCCTTAGCGGAAGGTGCTTAGCTGACTGCTGCCACCGCACCTGACGAACATTCGCTGATATGAGCCTTTAAGGGTGAGGGGACAACTGCTTACTATTCTATGTAGGGGTATTACTGGAAGCATTTAAGAAACGTTATAATATTTTAAGTCCATGCGGATGCTGAAATCTCTTACCATTTGATGGAACCTAACAAGCGAAGTCAAGTAATTTCGGGTTACTGTTCAGAAAGGATGTAACTCGTCCCATCGGCCGCATTTATGCTATGCGCCATGACCTCTTAAAGTTCCGGGTCGTGAATGAATGATGCGGGCATTTATGTGTGTATGGGGGGCTGTACAAGTTGTGAGGTGGGAGACTAGGGAACTGACGTCGGAAGACTGCTTCACATCTTCTCATTTTAATTTTACATGTTGTTTAGTTATGGTTGAATTATAACAGTTTGACGTTGGCTTGTAATTAGAAACAACATCTGCGGCCTCTTCGTATCTTTCTAAATATTGTTTTATTTACTTTTTTTCCATTTCCAATAGCAGCCTTGTATGTGTGATTTGTTATCGTTTTCAGTTCACTGATTGTGCCGAAACATGTGACAGGCTGGCAAGTGTGGGCAAAGTGGTGTACGTAGCAGCCTTGAGCGGCACCTTTGAACGAAAGGTATCTGCTTTTGTGTCGTAGTCAGTTAGCGACAGCTCGAGAGGGATCCTTCACAGTATGTGAGTCTAGTGTTGCGGATTTGATGTGGTGCTAGTTGGCCCACTTTCCACGCGCACGATCCGTGGGTTAAATCCCAGGTCGGCTCCCGTCCAGGCCAACGTAGCCTTCTTTTTCGGGCAAAATTGGTATCAAATTCGCCGAGAATGATAAGCACAGGCCGGTATATCAGCTGCTCCTCACGATTTTTCGTATAGGCCACATCGCTCTCACTAAGCCACTGATATTATGAATGGAAGTAGAATGCGAGCCGCATCCTCAAAAAGGGTTTTTCGCGAAGACATTACTCTCTATGGAGTCACTGAGTGGCGAAAAAATGACCACAATTTGTGGAATACTTGACTGCTCTCGGGGTCCAATCCAGGATTAGGACACAACCCTTGCGCGTGGAACATGTACTACTGCACCATTTCTACTCCTGAATACGTCATGTGAATAAATTTTTGAACCAATACAATTAACAATGGAGTACTCATTCCGCTCAATCGAGTCGGTTTGATTTTCAATGCTAGACTCAGCCGTCCCGTCCAGTGTCGTTACTCCTGCCGTATGCTGACGAGATCAAGCAAGTCGTTGCAGTATGTATGGGATGCGGTTCTGATGCGAGCTACTCGTTCCGAAACACTCTCGACAAGAAGGTAACGCTTTTCTATAATTTCTGGGCTATTTTAAGAGGATTTGAAAGATGGTCTACCACACTTGGCTTCTTTTTCTTTCTTGTACCGTTTTCTTTGCTACAAATAGTTGAGTGGTCCCGTCAGAGGGGTACGCTGTAGTTCCACCGTATAGTTTTATCCTACAGTTTCCGCAATTTTATGAAGTAATTGGCACTATTTACCTTTTCCTGCCTGAATCAGAAAAGATTTCCAACAGGGCCAGTTTTTAGCGACTTTTTTTTCTAAAGGCAGATTTGGATGCAAGGGTATTTTGTCGGGGGTGAGAGGCTATTTTATCCTTAGTTTAACTTGACACACTGAACGCGAATGTCATGTACTAGTGCACGCGCCGCAGGCGCATCTGCCAAAGTATTCTAGATCGCAAATGTCCGTGAGAACTTGTCTGCAGGAGTAGTTGGACCTTCTGAGTAAGAATATCACAAATTGGCTTGGCTTGGCACAACTAACGCAAAACCATCTCAGCCAAGGGCATGGGGCTAGGGCATTCAGGGGAACACGGCGGGCAAGGCATCCTTTCGAGTTGTCTACGTTAGTGATCCTTCCTTTGGAAAAAGCTCAGTCTTACCTGAGTTTGGATCACTATTTCGGGGTAGGGGCAGACGAGCAGTAGGCAGTGTTCAGACTTCGCGACGGCAGCGCCTCGGTCGCGCGTTC